TTCTATAGTGAACTTTTGTAAATAGAGATACAGATAGAGATACATAGATAGAGTGAGAGAGAGAGAGAGGAAGAGGGAAAGTAGGAGAAGGAAGGGGAAATGAAAGAGATGATGAGAAGGGAGAGAGAAGAAGGAGAAGGCGCGAGAGATTGTATACCTACGAATAGAGAAGCGTGCGCTTCGTCGCTCGCGTATTCAGTTACGTCCGATGCGTCATGGTGTCGAGACGCTTCTGTGTTTCTTACAATGAATCGCGACGTCGCGAAAATCATCACGTCGTTCTGGAGATCGATCTGGAACGAGAGCTGCCTGACTGGCAAATTGAACAATTAAACGATTGAAATGCAATATTTGCAACTTAAAATATATAAAATGTACGTGTAAAGGAATTTTGCAGTGAGACGATATTAAGTAGAATGAATGAAATTAATATAATTATATGTAATCATATCAATCAAGCTTCTTTGAAATTCAGATCAATATCGTAACATTATTATGTAAATATCTTGACGTATATCTTTTTAATTTAAATTTCAAAAAAATAAAAGCGTTTTAGAAAAAAAAAACGATGTGCGAATTGTATTAAGTCAAAGGACTTTTTTATTGAAAGGAGCAAGAATAAAAATCAAAGGTCGAGGATATATCAAGGATTAATTTTAATTATAACGTGAATAGAACGCGATCGCAATTATGCATAATTATTGTGTGACGATTCGGTGCAAAGTGCAGAATACAATTACGATTCGCGAGAGATAATCACAGAGCACATTCGAATGACGCTGGAGCATCGCGGTGACCACCGGCGGCATCATGGCGTGTATCAGAGCGCCGAGATCCGTGCGCGGTTCCGTCGACGACATTAAGGCCGATTCCACGCGTAATATTGTACAGGTAACAAGTTTTTTCCTCTTGTCATATTTCTTTCGCCAAGAAACGGGTTTACAAATTTCCAAGTATTTCTATTTCAAAATTTACAAATTTCATTAAATTCACTTTTAATAATGAAACGAGAAGCAGTTTAATATAATCAAGAATATAATAAAGTTTTGCTCGAACAGTAATGTTACAGCGCTATACATCTATCTCTAACCATCTTGCTTATAAATATGGAGAGAAAGCTCTTTTATAAACATTTTTTTAATGTATCGTTTTGTATGTATGAATATCGAGTGAAAATAGTAAGCTCACTTTTTCCGAACGGACAGGTAAAATAAGATAAAACTAAATGAAAACTTGAATTGTGTTAGAATTTTAATGTTCTCTTCTTTTTAATGTTTTCTGTCTTAATTTAGATAAATATAATTGTTGTAATGAATGTATTTGTTATAATGAAAGTTAAATGAGACAAATCAATCTTATAAAACGCAAGTATGAATAGTTGAATAATCAGAGATATAAATTACAATAAAATTTTGGTCAGATTTGCAAAATTCTAATGTGCAACTCTAACGTATAAAATACGATACAACACGATACAAAAATGATAAAAACGGATTCATACAAAATAAACGAGAAAATATGTAAATAATGATTCTTTTTATTATAGAGACTAAATCTATAAAAGTTTATAATGTTAAGTTGTTATAATATTCCAAACAGATCACCATAAATATTTTGCAGGATGAGAAGATATTTTATGAGTTATTTTATTCTAAATAATCACTAAATAATGTTTAATATTTAAAAAGAGAATAAAATGTTATAAATCTCATACACACCACTGTCTTGTTGTAATGCTAACTAATATTACGATGGTAGAAAACACCTGATAATATAAAAATTTTGATTTTTTCATTATTATCTCTTAAATATTCTTTATATTTTCAAAAGATTAATTAAATTCATTTTGCGACGCGAAGTGTATAAATAATTGTATATACTATATACTCAATTACATTATACCTTTTTTTAATTATTTTTTTATATTTATTATTATCTGCATAAATTTTTGGAGAACAAATTTTGTATTTGAAGTCAAAAAAAGCCATATATGAAATAAAATCTCTTTCATCTCAATGAAACTTTAGTATACATACGTTTCGTTCGATCTTGCTTACACTTCTTTCATCTCGCTTTGTCTCTCTCTCTTTCTCTCTCTTGTTTTTTCCTACTGAATTATCGCGGGAAAGTCCTGGGATTTCATTGGAAAAGCGTGAAAAGATTCGGAGAAGCGACGACCCCATCGTGGCCGCCGTAATAATGGCGACCTGAAATCATGAAGCGAGTCTTCGTCCGCGTCCCTTCCGTTCGTCTCTTTGCACGCTTAAAAATAGTACGCGATGACTAACTCTCTCCTCTCCTCACTCTCTGTGCGGCTCCTGTCTTCCTCTCTTTCTCATCTCCACCACGTTTGTCTTTCCCTGCGCCTTCCAGCGTCCAGTGTTGTGAGCGAGTGCGCGCCTCTCTGCCTCTTCGGACAGACTCTCGAGAGTCGTTCGCTCGCTTGCACGCTTGCACGCGCTGAAAAGCCTGGCGCTCCGCCAGCACGGTAAGCGCGTCGGGACAATTCATGCTTCCTGGCATGATTTATGTCCCCGATGTTCTTATAAAAATACTTATAAATAAAGATTTTTTTTAGAAAAATAATGATTTCTCATACAAAAAAATTACTTGTAATTGAACATGCGATTAATGATGCAAGATTGAAATCTTACGGGATAATTAGTGACGCGAGTGAAATTCATAATGTGCATTCGACGAAATATAAACATTTGAAATAATATTTTAAATATTATTTGGATCAATTTGATCCAACAAATGTATATCATTATTTTTCTCTACCTTTATTTTTCTCTCTCTTTCTCTCTTTCTGCCTCCATTCAAAGATCCGATAAATAAATAACATGTATAGTGACAATCGTGTATCCGCACTATAAAATAGTAGATGAAAAAAGCAGAGAGGAAATAAATACGGTGGACGGGTAGAAAGTCGCGTGTTAATAAACGTAAATGTATATGCAGTTGTGTAGAGTTGCAAGCAATAGGAAATAACACCTATGTGACATATATGAATCGCCACTCGTATGATGAAACAGCAAATGAATGCGTTGCCTGTTGTTTTCACTGAACGAGAAAATGATGAGAAGAGAATCAATAATTAATTATTGTTGCATTCACCTTCATTGACGAATGACGGATATTTGTCGCATATTACGCAAGTATACATCTTTATAATAAATTGAGATTTGTGACGTCATCAATATACTAATTAATTTATTATATACTAATTATTTTATGATTAGATTATATACTAATTAAAATTTTATTCATTGATTAAAAATTTATCGCCTAATTGCAGATGCGATCTGTAAAGTATATAAATGATATAATAATCAGGATTGGTATTCCAATTAGAGATTGAGATTTAAGGAATATTTTAGTAATAAATTTAAAAACTTTTTTGTGATAATAAGATAAATTACGATAACGACATGACAGATTTCCAAAGTACATTTTTTCATAAAATGCTTGTTAATTTCATAAAATGCTTGTTAATGTCTTTTTTGCGTTATCATCTTCTCATTTGAAATAATTATATACGAAATGCATAATACTTTATATCATATACGACATTATATCATATGCGACTACCTTAAAGATATTGTTTTATTAAAATTTTACTTACAATTAGTTTCTGTTTATTGGAATTTATTTTATTATTATAATTTTCTATAAAGAATTATATAATAATTCTCTTATTAAAATTTTTTATCAAAAAAAATATTTATTAATATTTATTAAATTTTATATTGTATTGAATGAAATTTTTGTTATATTAAATATTATATGAAGAAATTTTTGGGAAAATAAAAATTAAGAAAATCCATCAACGGAATTAAACAGGGCTCAGCGCAAAGTTAATATTTGTAAAGTACATATGTATTAAAGGCAAGATTAGATATGCTAGGCGAGATGCGAATAAGGAAATATCTTGCGAGAGATTCTTCGAGGTGAAGAGATTCCTATCACGCCAAATGGCATTCTTCACTTTACTTCATTTCGAATAGCATAGTGTTAGCTGTGTAATTTATACAAGTTTGACTAAAACTCGACACAGCAGAAATATTTGTTAGAATCTTTCGTATTTTTATTCACAAAATTATTTTTAAGATAATAAAATTAGTTAATTTCAAGAAATCCTCATTTCGGAAACGAAAAATTGTTTTGCAAAATATTTGCGTGCACGTTCTTGTGTGATTATTTATTATTTCATTAATAACATTCGTAGAGCTAGAAGGAGCATAACGGAAAAGTAATAATTGGCGTGCAATTGCAATACGAAAGAATAATCGATCTATCGACCATTAAGTCTGCTTCAGTACAGTATATGTTTTTCTCTCTTTCTCTTTCGTGATTGCCTTTAATTCACCGAACTATACTCTTGATGCAGTGATCAATTGATCAAACATAATTATTGCCATGAAATGCAATGTATTATACTTAAGAGTGCACGCAATTTTCCACATAGTATTACAATGCATATATATATATATATATATATATATATATATATATATGTATATACATATAAAATCCGATTCAATTACTCTACGCATATTTTCTTATTATTAAAAGATGCAAAAATGAATCTAGTACTGTACATATGTACATTATCCACATGTTTGATAATTGAATTTTGAACAATATCTGAAATGAAAAATATTTGTTGCAAATCAGGATGGCAATACAAATAAAAATAACTCGCGAAGTTTTTTTTATCAAGCGATAAAATGATTTTAATTATAGAAAGTCAGCAGTAAAGAAATATCTCTAAATAATTTTACTACTAAAAACAAAAAGTATAAATGTAGACAAAAGATATTGTCTTTAGACAGTCCTTGACTATGGCTATGTGAATAACGTTTACGATTTGTCTGCAAACTATATTGCATTTGTATGTGTATATAATTTATATATACATATATATGTTTATATAGCAAGTAACTTTATATAATATTTTATTTAATTGTAAGAATAAAACACTAGTCTTAATATTTCAGATCTATACGGATTGGGCGAATTATTACTTGGAACGAGGAGGTTGCAAGAGGAGAGTGATCGATCTCCAAACTGATCTCTGCGACGGTGTCCTTTTGGCTGATTTGGTGGAGGCTGTTAGTAAGTGTCTTTATTTTTGTTTATTTTTCAAAAATTATATAATTATCTAAGTATATCTAAGTAATTATCTAAGTATATATCGAGAAAAGAATGAAAAAAATATTTAAGAAAATATTACATATCCATTATAATGTGTTTGTATGTATGTGCAAATCTGCACAAATTATATTCATAAATTGTATTTATAAATTATAATTTTTAAAATTAATTAATTTATTATTTTGATACAAATAATAGGGAAACATTTATATGAAATAAATAAAAATTTAGTTATAACATTTTTTTACATTAATAAAGATTGACGCATAAAACTAGTCGGCGAGTTATGACGAGTTGTTAAATCTATGATTCGCTTAACAGTACCGAATCATCGTTTATGGCATTGGACAGTTATTCGTAACATAACATAAATTTGCAGTAAAGTCATTACCGCATAGCATACGATAGTCACGTGCTGTATGTACGTGCGTACCATATGCAATTTGTTGGAATGCCCGTTAGAGGCCTAAATTTAAAAAAAAATAATTTCTAAATTAATGATTATCTTTCTTGTTGCAGCTAATCAAAAAGTGATCGACGTAAACCGGAAACCGAAAAACGCTCAACAAATGGTGAGTGTACATACTTTTTGAAACTAAATATTATTTTTTATTCAAATAATGAAAAGAATATTAGATATATTAAAATATTATAAAAATGTTGCAGTTAATTAATATTCTATATGTTATCTATATTTATCAAATATAGTAAAAACGATTACGACTTAAATTTCAAATTAATTGTACTTGAAGGGAGTGCTAATTGTTTAATTATACGAGAAGTGAAATTCTCAGATTGTAAGTAAGAATTGATCGGCTCGAAAATTCGAACAGATCGTACGCGAGACTTTCTCGAAGAAGCAAATTTAAGAACCATCCGTTCTTTAAAAATAGAGAGCAGTTCTCGCCGGTTAGGATGCGCAGATAAAATCAGTGCAACGACGCACATACGATGCACCATAGATCACCATCCGCACTTTTCTTCGGGGAATATGTACTTAGAATAACGCACGAATTTTTCTCGAAAAATATGTAGTATCAATTTTTAAATTATTAATCTTAGTTTCATAGACGTCTTTAATTCATTAAGACGATTATATAATTTTCTATTTATTTATTTACATTTTATTTCTTTTAAAATTCTAAACTTAATTATTTGTTTTAATTAACTTGATACTCTAGTTCTTGAATTATATTAGAATATGTTTTTTTTTTATTTGTGATATTTTAACTTTTATTTTTTAGTTAATTTATTTACAATATAATTTCGAAAAATTAAATATATTGCACTCGAATATCTTGACTAACATACTGTTTCGGAATAATAGATTTTCGAAGTTGTGTATCTTTGTAAAACTATTAACGATTTTGTGAATTGTTAATAGTTTAACAAAATACAAAATTCTTCTTATATAATGATATATATTATATAATATAATTGTAATATAAATATTATCAATTAAATCTTTGTTATAATATAAGTGCGTAATAATCATATTTTATAATAGTACATCCCCACTGTGAGATAAATCTGCGCCTAGTCTGAGAAAAACGATCACTTGGATCTCAGATTGGCATTTTATAGAAACGCCGCGGCAAAAGGATTCGCTTAGAATTTCGCGTAACCTCTGACACGCGCGTTTTATACCTGCGATTAAACATCTGGCTCCTCTAGGGATTCGCGGCTAATTAAAAGCTATTAATTATAACATCTCGTTATGTCCTTATTCATAAGTATATATGTCATATGTTCGCTATTTATTGCTTTTTCTTCTAACGAATGTGATATTTTATCTGAGTTTTCTGTATGAAAATAGTTATAAACCGTTTAAAATTTAAAATTTATCAAAAATACAATCTGGATTAAAATTTTAAAATAAAATTTTAAAAATTCATATTTTAATATCTTCTGAATTTAAAAAAATCATATTTTCATTTTAAATTACACTACAAACATTAAAATTAATGATATATATTACCAGAATTTGAATAAGCATTTTCCTTGCATTAATTTTCTTCTATTTTCTGTAAATTTTCTAAGAAACTGAAATATTTTTTTTATTATTATAGCATTTGACAAAATATTAGGAAACATGCAATAAAATTTCAAAATGGATAGCTTTTTGTTCCGTAACATTATAAAAATTCCATTCTTGGAGGCAATCCTTCAATTTGTATCCTTTGAGCAAGAGTATCGCGCGTTGACTCAGGATTATGCAAATCGGGAACACGAGAAGGTATCATTCTATTTGAGAAAGAGAGAGAGAGAGAGAAATGTAACTCAACTGCGTATCTCGATCTATACATCCGGATGTGACGTGTCTCGTTTTCCTAGCGAGATGCACTTAGAATCCATAAAATTCGTATCCTTTTCCTCTCATGTCTTTTTCTGCTCGATCATTTTCTCTCTCATATTTTTTACGATTAAAAATCTAATATCAAATGTTTTTTATTCAATCTTCGTATTTATAAATAGTGATGAATTATAAATTAGAAGCATTTACATATTTCTTTGTTCTGTTTATAATAAATTAATGTCAAAGATGCAAAAATTTTAAAGTTATATAATATAATATATAAATATAATAATTAAAATATATAATAAAATATATAAACATGATTAAAAATATATATACGAATATAATTTCTAAAAATAATAAAATACAATTATATAAAATTATATATATATATATATGAAACATGCAGAACAAATGACAGTAAAAAATTATTTTTATATTTTTGAATTGAACAAAATTCCAAATATGACTCTTCAGTTCTTTGGCAGAAACTCAATAATTAATTAAACTAGCAAATTTTGCACATAACTTTTAATAGCTATGTAGTATAAGCTTCACATTACTCTAGAATTAAATTCACGTTGACATTTTGAGAACATAGGTGACGTAAAACTTCTCGAAGTCTTCTCTGTAGTTTTGTTCTTACCTTCAATCGAGTAAGTAACAAAAGTGAGACTAGGTAGTCGGTTTTCGTAGAGAGAAGTCGCTTTTCCAATTTCGCGGTGTTGAGGGTGGACGCTAAGGAAAGGAGAAGGGCTCCGGTCTATAATTAAAAGCAAGCCAAGCACACGCGCCACGCACCATATGTACACGGTGATTCATAATGATAAGTGAGGACAATCTATCGAGGTAGACAAATAAACCCATATTATTAAATAATTAATCGAGGCTAAAAAATCTTTTTTTATCATTAAAGAATATTTTTTATTGAAAACCTTATTAATTAGTTAAGTATTAATTTTATGTAATTTAGGGCAAAATTTATTTATAATTTTTTTACTTAAGTACATAAATATCATTCGGTATATTTTACATATATGTATGTATATCTATATACATAATATATGTATGTATCTATATACATAATATAATTTTGTCATAAATGTTTCACGCTACGTTTTCAATTTCTTGGTGTCATTAGTGATTCATGAAACAAGCTGTAATTGAGTCGAATCACGAGTTTTTCTCTCTGGTCCGCAGCACGCGACTTACAACTCGTTGTTGGTTTACAATTCGTACGCACTCTTGTGACACGTACAATAGCGTACGGAGTGAAACGTGCGTTCTCCGTGCTTCGCTAAGCAAACCGGAAACGTCCGATGGTTGCATAAGTCGGTATTATGCATCATAGAGATGCGGTCCATTCTCTTATTATCAACCAGCCACATCGATCCTTTCACTTGTCAGTTCTTGTTCATTGAGAGGAAAAAATTCGAAAATTAAAAAGAATGAGACTTTAATTTTTTTAATAAAATCTAAAAGAAAGTTTAGAATTTTATTAAATAATTAACAAAAGTGTACATAACACAAGTTAACAAAAGTCTAGATTTTTTAAATTAAAAGGCAAATGTTTAGATCTCTAAATTATTGATACTAGAATTCTAGAGTCTAAGACTCTTTTGATGGCTCGATTCCGGTTTAATTACGATCGTGGACCGAAAGCGTTAATTCTCCTCATCAAAAAGATTCGCCCGTTTTTTTCCACATAAATTTGTTTCTCGCAGTATAATCGAGTTCTCATCCTCGCGCTATCCCTCGGTCGTTGATGTTGTTTTGATGATTAAAGAGCCGGCTAAACTCGAACTTAAACCGGAACTGTTATTACATCTCTGGCCAGCATTGGGCCATTGCAATCTATTTCTATTTCGCGGAGAATCTACTCTCAAGAGAGAGCGAGATGAGTCATTTCATATATTGGTCAACCGCACCGGTCTCTTTAAGTCGATGACGATACTTACGAAATATATTTTCAAATAATTTTATCAATGCGTGTGTCAAATAACAAATATTGCAATATTTTCGAATTATTTAAAATTATTATAAATTTCAAATTTAAAACATGTAGAATCGTGATGCAATTTATTTGTAAACGAGGTAACACTATAAAGCCAAAGACCGCATTTAAGTAAACGCGTTTGATGATCAAGCTCTTTAAAAATCGATTATTCGATTATTTAGATTAGGAAAGCGTGAACAAGTGTTAGGGGAGGTGTTGGGCGCTGGACACGCTGAAAATGCCGCAGGTGTCCTAGATACGAGTTAGTATACATTTGTGAACTCCATGAATTGAAAGAGGAAGCCGACGAGAAAAGGAGGAAATACGTAGGCGCGGTTTCCCGGTAAGATCGCTTTGTGAAAAAAAAAAGAAAGAAACGTTCTAGGCCGTATTTCCTCTTTGAGAGACTGAAAAGCCTGTCGTACACATCGGGTGTCTCTAAAAACTTGCATTTCTATCTCATCTCGGATAAATTAATAAGAATTCCAATAAAACCTTATACAAGTCTAATGTTTACTTTTTTGATTAAATTAAATTTTTCTTTTAGTTTAATTAACTAAAATTAATATGTCTCTATAATTAATATTCATTTATAAGTTAATTTATAAATTTATATTTACTATTTATTTTTTTTTATTATCATGTAGAGATTGATTTTTTTTATAGAATTGGTTTTAAATTGAAAAATTTAACCGTTTATTCGTGGATTATTTTTCTTTTCGATATAAATATAATTTTTCTGTTATCAGATGACTTGACTTTTTCATACAAAAATTCCTGCATAAAAATAATTGATCGTTTATATCGTTATTTGATACATAACTTGATTAATTAATATTCGTCGTCGTTAATTATCATGCTTAAAAATATATCTTTATATTTATTGTAAATTAATTAATAGACAAAATGCCAAAGAAATAAAGACAATGTTCACGTTATATGTGTACATACTTTCTTTATTACTATTCCATTTATTATCCGGTCGTGGGGACAGATTGCTTTTCACAATTATCCAGTGCATTTTCATCGATCCTCTACATGAATATGATGTTGCGAATGATTCGGAATGCAATATTCCCCTGACGTAGCATTGCATTCTTCGTGTTCGAACTGACTCATGCTTAATTCCATTTTAACATTGTAATTCTTTATTTTCCACAATTTCACATTGAAAAAATGGCAATGCTTTATGGTTATGCGATATTTATTATCATGCGTGAATTAATATTGGTTTGCTTTCTCACTTTCTTTTTTTTCTCTTTTGAATAATTGTATAACTT